TTGAACCTATGCTCCGATGTATTGAGAGCACTCAGGCTGCGAGTCGGATACAGGACATGGCACGCCAAGTTAAAAGGCAGTGAGGAAGATCCTCTCAACATTAGCAAAAGGACCGATGGCAACCGCATGTGTGTAGTGAGCGCTGCAGTGGAGCTGGGCGTGCTTCTGTGGTCGGTGGTGCGCTGGAGAGGTGTGCTTGTAACTCGGCGGGCCTGCGCGTTATGCTTTCGCGGCTGGTGAGAGCAAAGGGATGCGAAGGAGAGGGGGATACAAGTGAGCTCTTGGGGTCCATGGGGGGGGCGGGGTACCATATATACATAGATATATATATATATATATATATAGATAGATAGATAGATAGATAGATAGATAGATAGATAGATAGATAGATAGATAGATAGATAGATAGGATAGATAGATAGATTAGATAGATAGATAGATAGATAGATAGATAGATAGATAGATAGATAGATAGATAGATAGATAGATAGATAGATAGATAGACAGACAGACAGATAGATAGATAGATAGATAGATAGATAGATAGATAGATAGATAGATATTTCCTATATGAGGGGTGTTCACCTTTTCTACAATATAAGGCGCGAAGTACACTTGGCCCCAGGCACTGGGCGGTATCGTTTCAGAATCGCGCGGGCATCGTTTGGGGTATCGTTCTCAGCTCAGGAACAAGAGCAGCACATCACTGTGCTTGTACATTGCAACTTTGAAGTACCAGTGTGATTGGCTGTTCAGACTGTGGCCGTGGCATGTGTCATCGTGTCATCTGAAATGCGCAAGTTGCCTTGCAAAGGTGAAAACGAGCAAAGCCATGGCGGCCTTATAGGCCGAAGTCCAACACCACGGCCACGTGGAAGTAGCCGTCAGCGGATATTGTCTGAATCGTCACCTCAGCGACAATCTGTGGAAACCTGCCACATGCCAAAGAGACCTATGAACAGCGCAGGCCTGCGATTCAAATACGGCGAACATCCATGAGGAAAAGTAATGTGATACATGCACCCGGCCGGGGCAAGCCTAACTCCCTAAACCGATGGCTGAGGGTCAGAAATGAAAGTGCGAGGCTCTGGGCTTCATGTTTTCACAGTAAAGGCCTTGGAGGACAGCAGACTACTTCATGCATTGAAGGGCACAATCGTAGTCCCACTACAGCGGCAAACAGTTCCTGTCCTCTAGTTCCTTCACCCTCTTTAGAACCACAGGGTTGAGGTGGCTTTTTTACTAGCCCCGGCTTTTTACTACCCCGGCTCAGCACAAAGCCTCCCTTATGTGCCTGTAAGAGGTTGGCTGGGCTGGGGGTCGGGTTGGTTGGCCACATCCCCAGCATCACCGGCCTCGCCCCGGACTAGGGCTTCCTATTGGCTTTGATTTGGTGGCAGTTCAGAGGGCTTGCTGAGGTCTTGATGAGGGCAGGTCGAGGGTTTGTTTGGGGTTCATTTAGGCTCGGCAAAGGGCTGATACCAGCTGACCAACCGGGGATGCCAACCAACCAACCAACCAACCAACCAACCAACCAACCAACCAACCAACCAACCAACCAACCAACCAACCAACCAACCAGTCGGGGCAAGTAAAAAAGAGCTCCTGTAGATAGTAGAACCATTCTGCCAAACGATACGTGTGGCACCGGGATACGTGTGGCACCGGGTGGCAACGTACACCAACCCAGTGCAATGCATGGCAAGGCATGGCAGCCCGCAGCCCGCCTGTGGCAAAGAAGCTCCACGTCAAGCAAGCGGCACCTTCCAGGCTGTCTGAATGCGAACAAAAACAACATGATACAAAACAATACATGGTTCTTCTGCAACCCTGCACAAAGTCACGACAGCCCTTTTTTTTCGACTCAGCGGTGCAGTTTGTAAAGCTGGTCTGGCAGGCAGGCTCCATTTATAGGAATCCATGGGGCCACAATTGATGCAAACCAAGAAAACATGTTGATACTTGTGTTCCTGTTGACTGGAGCCATTTACCATCCAGAGCTGTGAATCCTCCAGGCACTCGTGTGCAACAGTTTCAAGCAGAAGATTTATCAAGCCTGGCAAGCGTGGTACTACTCAACCCTGTTTCAAATCGTAGTGCGATGTGGACTGCTCAAGGTCGAGCAGCCTGAATTATGGTCAAGATCATTGCCCTGACCAAAACGTCAAACTCACGCCATGCTCAGGAGAGCCAGGAGCACAGGCACCCCTGCCATGGCGTGGACCGCGGCGCTCGGGGGCTCCTCTCCAACAGCAGTAGTGGTGGTGGGCGGCATGGTGGTGGGCGGCATGGTGGTGGGCGGCATGGTGGTGGGTGGCATGGTGGTGGTAGGCTCCGCCGTTGAGAACATCGTGGTGGCAGTCGTGGTCATCATAGTGCTGTTCATGAAGGTCGTGGTCTCCGTCATCGCAGTGGTGGTGTTGGCGCCGCTCTGGATGACGAAGCTGCTCAGGATGCGGCCATCCTCTGGGCGCACGTTCTCCGACGTCCACAGGCTCCTGGGCAAGTCAGGCTTTACTTCCAAGTTGAACGGATCACAAGCGCAGCCTGGATCGCACACCCTTCTTCAAGCTGCTGCAAGTCTTGGCAATCAGGGGCAAAAGTTGTACAAAGGCGTCCCCTGCCTGTCATTGACGGCCGCACGCAGCTCATCCACTGTGCCGAAAGCCGGCCCCGTGTAGTAGGCGTTGTCGGACTCCGGAAGGACCACCGCAGAGATTCCTTCCTGCAAATCAAATGGCATCAAGCCAGCTTAGGAGTTGTCGCGCATCGTACAAGGAGAACATGCGACACAAACTATGTGCCTGGACCGTAGCCGAGCTAAATCGGCAAAAGACGCTCGAGCAAGGGCATGTCTTCAGAACCGCTTCCCTTCCAATGTCTGCATTTGGTTCCCCAAAACTTGCCTCAAGGCCGGAGAGCATGCGGCTCCCAGCTGAAATGTCCTCCATGTGCACAGCACACAACAGTGTGGGCCTCAGAAGATCGCTTGCTCGCCCACTCACACTCTCCCACTCTTACACTCTGACTCTGTCTCACACTCACTCTGACTCTGACTCTGGCTCTCACAGCTAACACTCCAACACTCTCACTCACTCTCACTACGCCAGGCTTGACTCTTGCAAAGTTGGCACAAACCCATGAAGACCACTCCTCCTAATTACAGGGGTGTCAGTCGGGATATCGGTCGGGAGTGCCGTGGGGGCACGTGACGCTCTTGAAATGCTGCAGGCAGGTGCATGATTCTGCAGCAACATCACGGACCAAGCAAGACAGGCGACCAAGAAGCAGGCAAGTAGCAAAGCGCTACTCTTGTTTTTGAACGGCGTGCGGTCCATTTGTTTGCAACATGCGATAGAGAGCCAAGCGTAACCACGCCGGCTGACTGCAGCTGCCATCCTGCCACTCAATGTGACAACAGCGTTCAGTTGCACTTGCGGGCCTGCTGCAGTGTTGGATGAAACCAATCACAATCATGACTTCCTTTCTGGGCTTCATGTGCGGATCCGTGGCCCTCAACGATGGAGCGGGGCCATTCTTGCACAAGCACATCCGCGCTTCAAGCGCTATGTCAATGTTGATGATCGCAAAAGAAGGTATCGGTTCTGGGGTCCCCTGCAGGTTCTGCATGCGCTACTGCCGAAGACTTCCAATAATGTTGTCCAATGTTATTGCGATCGCTTTATGTGTGCTGTGTACCTGACTGGAGTCGGCTGCTTGTGAGAGCTGTAGATGTGTTCACTAGGATGCTTTATCGGATGTAGCGTGCACTAAGTTCATTGATGCGAAATGTGGGAATCTACGTCCCTTAAGTGCACTATACTAACGCCTAGTGGCGACTCTGCGGAGCCCGTGTAGGCCACGAGGTGGTCACCGGAGATAGAGCCGCCTTCCCCTTGAAAGTCCGCGCCTCACAGTGACGCTGATGGAGTTGGTCTGCATCAGGGGGGTACAGCAGTAGCATCTGCTTCCCATTCTTGTATATGTGTTTAGCTTGTTTTCCTTTTGCAGAAAGTGGATCTGCTTTTTCAGCGAACGCAAGTCTCCGCTACATCTGCGGAAATGGGTGGGATGCCTGTTCTGGGATGAATTGGCGGGGTACGCAAGATAAGCCAAATCCGAAAGCAAGTCCTCCTCGCTCCGAGGCGCTTTTCAACACAGTGCCAGCCGCAACGCGGCCCTTGTGCTGCTTCGTCACAGAGCCGACGCGGCTCAGGGAGCCGTCTGCCATCAACCCGTGGTCGGTCACAAAGACAGGCTCCTCCTCCACGTCCTGTAAAGGCTTCACATTATGTCTTTCAAGAGAACACTAGAAAGGTGCCGATCCTAGCCCAAATCAGCTAGCAACAGCCTGCCAACAGCTTGTCTGCTGTTGGGTCCGTGGCTCTGTCTGCTCTGTGTCAGCTGCTTTTTTTTCTGTGGATATATCCGTAGCTGTGCCTGCGGCTGTGTCCGAAGCTGTGTCTGCACCCTGTCTCTCGCATTGGAGTCTGCCAGTCTCAAAGCACCCCTGTTCGCATTTCTTCCTCCCCTGGGGTGATTTATTCCAGTCTCTGTCCTTGAGGAGCAACAACCCAAACTGGCTTGGCTCCTTGGCTGAACAAGCACTCACAAACCTGTTGCCGGAAACGTGCGCTTGACACATTTCCGCATCCTACATGCATCGCGAGGTACCATCCAAACGGTCCAACGGCCAGACTGCATGGACACCGCTGACGGCTGTTTCCGATCTGATCGCTCTGTGAAGCCAAGCTTCGTCCGCAAAGACCGCCGTAAAGGCGCAGTCGCCGGGGTTCAGCGCCTTCGCACCGCCCAGGCAAATCGCCAAAATGGAGGTCAACTTCATGGCCGAGCTTTTGCTGATGCCGCTCTGCGCCGTGGAGCCAAAACGCTGTGGACACCGACAAGCGGACTGCGGAGGATGCACAAAGCTGATTGAACACAACTCGAATTTGAGATTCGTATTGGAAACCATTAGTATTGGAGTTGCAGTTTGACGA